ACCACGCCCTCATGACGTGTCCTCCCCCCCCCCCCCCCCCCCCCCGGCTTTGTTTTCATCCTCTAGTAAGTTGTTTGCTACTAATATAATGTACTTCTGTTGAAATTGTTTGATCCTTCCAGCTCCTATCTGTACAGGAATTCTGATGCTTAAGTTCAAATTGGTTGAAAATACCACTTACCCTGCTTCCTCTTGGTTTGCATTACCTGTATAGCAGACTGATCAATTTATGGTTACACAGATAGGAAAGCTTCAGAGTGAAAGCATTTTATTTCCATCTTGTAAAAAAAGTTTCCATATTTTTTAAAAAAACAAAATTAAATAATTTAGGGAACACTAATGAAGTTGTCTTCCTAGGGACAGTCTTAAATTAGATCAAGCATCCTGTTAACAGTCACAGCCTCCAAATTTTGTTTCTGAAAGAGATTGTTTTTTCCTTCCTGCCTTTTCTTTTAGATTAATACAGAGGGGACTTTCACATGCTTAAGCCTTTTTACCACTGGTTGACATTTCTCAGTTTTGACACTAGAGATGTCAAAATATTTACTGAAGGGTGTGTGTGTAATTTTGTTCCCAAATAAGCCATAGAAAGGACTTCCTTTACAGTCAAATATTGGCTTAAATATAACTGTCTACTGAAAGCTTTATTCAGGTAAGCTTTACTTTGGTGTTTTCTATTTATTGTATAGGATTCTCTGTAGCAAACAATATGTAATCTTAATCCTAATCCTAAATTTTCATTTCAGGAGTGCTCTTTTTCCAGCTTGCATCTGTATCTGATAGTTTTTGTTCTTCTGTTGCCCAGAATGCTTCCTGGGGTGTAGTGGGAGGCAGTGGTTATCTGAGAGATGGTGTTCTTACCAATCTGACATCTTTATTCTTTTTTCTGGTGTCAACCATTTTTGTATTAATGTCAGTGGAGGGGAGCTCCTGTTAGACCTCATACTTGTCCTGCAGCTAGAAATGAAAACCAGCAAGAAATTGGAATGCACAATTGATTTGCCAGACAACTATATAACCATTATAAACATTACTTTTAATTTTTAGCCGCGTACAAAGCGTATGTGACTGCTCTTAAGTCGATTACTTTTTATATTTTAAAGGATTATTAACTCAGTAAGTATAGGATCAGTAAGTATAGGAACTAGATTTTAATTTCAGTTACATTTAATAATCTCAGATGTTCTACTTTTTTCCAAAGGTACGTGATAACAATTGCTATGATCCATCATAATTTAAACATCTATAAATACAGCATGTGCCTAACATGAAGGAGAAGAAAGAAAGGAGGAAGAGCATAATAGGTACAGCTGTATGAGTGTGTCTGTAACACAGCTGCTTCAGCTATGAGAGTAGTGCAGTGTTTAGGAGATTCCTTAAACTGAAGATCGTATATGATGTTGAACTCCCAAGTGGAAGGGTGATTTTGATATTAAGCTGTTACAGTAGTCCCGGAGCGGGAATTATACTGGTTATACTGATACTATATCCTTAGTAACAGGAACGTGCCATTTGTGTGTCTATCCCCAGGAGCATGTTGGTGCCCATTTAATAGAGTGGGAGATCGAAATAAAGGAAGATCAGATGGACAAAATACTGGGTTTACTCAGTCTCTCACAAAGGGCCTTTCTGTAGCCTATTTTAGAAAGCCTGTGTTGTTGCAGGCTTATTGCATACAAGGCAAATGATGGTTAGTATTTGAGGAGCTATATCAAGGCATGGCCTCACCAGGCTCACGATATACTAGAACATCCAAATCTCTAATCATCAGCTTTATTAATACATATTGTTATGGTGCTGAATCCAGATGTGAATTAATATTTGTTCTGAGTCTAGTTAGGGAAGCCTTTTTAGGTAAGAAAATGGTATAGTAGCCATATAATTTTTCTATTGTAGATTGCAAACTCTTCGGCTTCAAGTCTTTATATATATATATATATACAGGAGGGAGTACAGTGTAGTCTCAAGCTTAGTTGTTGTTACCACTTCTGAAAACAGAATTGTGTAATGAAACCTCGCCATAGCAAAGCAGTTAAGCAATTCAGGGTTTAATTTTAGATTAGATAAATCAGTTCATTATTATCTCCCAATAAGTATGTTTTTATAGTCTGACCAATAGTAAACACTTAAAAAAAAATAAATTGTATATTTTTTGCCTGACAAATTAATGTTAAAACAGAATCAGAGATGTTCTTTTGTAAATGTACCTCCACTAGATGCACTCAGTTATGGTCCCACTCAGAAGTTTTGTCCCGTATTTGGTTAAGCATGACACATGAAGAGAGCAGGGAAAACTGGGAAGTGATTCAAGCTGTCACTGCAAAGGAAGTATAAAGCCAGTTTAACTGGCTGGTGGGCTCCAGTTGGTCTGTGTTGCTGCAAATATCACCAAACAGCCATAATCTAGCTGGCCCTACGTGTAGGGGGAAAAAAAACATCATGTGGTTGCAGTCTCTTTGTGCCCTTTCTCCTGGGTTCATATGTTAATATTTCACTTAAAAGCCCCTAAAGGTTCAGAGAACTGAATTACAGTAAAGCTGGGTTTGCAAGTTTCTGTCTGTAAAACCAAGGTATACAAGATTTCTATTCACTTTCATTATAGCATTTGATCTTGAAGTTAGAACTGACTTTTTTTTTTATGTTGCTGCAGAGTTGTATTGGTGCTGTCCCCAGCTGGCAGAGTTCAGTAGAAGTTTGTGGCATTGGATATTGAGTATAAGAATAGCTGCAATCAAAATCTGTAGCTTACAAATAGTATATATTTTTTAATAAGGATAGTGGCCTGTTCTTAGCTTAAAAATTTCTGCTACTGAAAAATTTTTGAAAAGGTGGTGTCTTTTTGAGAAAGGAAAAACTGTTATTCACGTATGCACTTGAAAAATGTCAAATCTTTCTGTGTAAAGAAAGAAATTGAATGCACTTCTGTGAGTTGTACTTCAGGAGTTTGATGTTTAAATGCTTACTTCTACAAATGAAAGCAATATGCAACCTAATGGAAACCCAGACGACATAACTGTTTAGACCAAATAACTTCAGATAAAGATAGCTAGGGGAAAGGATTATGATAGTTGTGAGGAGGTACAAACCGACAGAAAGATTAGAATGGGGGTAGTCTTTTTGGTCATTGGGATGGCTGAAACGGTCTGAATGAGAAGGATGCAAAGAAATCTGTACTTACTGTGCCACGGAAAATATGGTGTTCAGAGGGAGGTGGGGGGAAGAGGACAATATTTAAAAAGAAGTGAAATGTTAAGAGCATCCAGAGGAAATGTGAAAACTCAAATCCAACCTCCAGTGTCTTCTGTATATGAAACTTAAGTCTTCTGTTTAGGGCATGCCCATTTTTTTTTATGCTTATCCACAAAGTTCAGTTTTGTTTTGAGACTTAAGTTTGCCAAGTCTATTATGGAGTGCTTACTCTGCTCATAATTAGGAACAAATAGATGTATGTAGTTAATTAACAAGGAACAATGATTCTAAATGGTGTTCAACTGTAAAATATGATGGCTTTTTGACAGGCACGCTAGTCATACACTGGAACCTGTATTTTAGCAGTGTACCATTAACATTCTTGTGTTGAAAGGCAAATCTTCAACTGCTCATTTACTGAAAGAGGTGCTATAGCTTAGTGCTCAAGAGTTGGCCGTCAGCGCTGTAGTCTGACAGTCGCTTCAAGGCTTTGCCGCAAAAAAAAGCGGTCCCTTCATCCTCTGTCCCCCTTCCCCCACGTCGCCTTCTGGGTTGTGCTTACAAAAGTGTTTTTGCAGCTGTGCAGAGAATCAGATTGGGGAACTGATCCAGGTTAAAGCAAATATGTTGTTGTCTGGTTAGTTTTAATCTAGATCTGTTCCCTGATCCAACTGACTGCATAACTGCATGAATGTTTTGCCAACAGAGGGCTAAGGTGAAACGCAGTAGGAATCAATGGCTGGATACGGGAGTGGGTAAGGCTGAGATTCTTTCATGGGAAAACTGGTTAGGTTTGAATTTGGCTTTAAGTGAATACTTGTCGTCCAGTTCTTAGCTGTGATTGCAGGTGTTTTTGCAGTGGACATCAGGTGATTTGAGAAGTTGCAGCTTTTTTCTCTTAGCTGGCTGCTGCTTCATAGTAGAGTTCATAGTAGAGTTTCTTTGTACAGTGTCAGACAGTTTAAGTGGTCTTTTTCTGGAAATTTAATCTTAAGCTTACCTGAGTGAAGCTACGGATAAGAACATCCCACCATCACTTTTGGGATTCACTTAGCAATCTGCTTCTGAAGGAGGAGAGCAGAAATTGTAACATCCTGAACCTCTGCAACCAGTTTGATAACGATCATGAAACTTACGCCACAATGAGGTAACTGGCTTTGCGACAGGACCTCATACAATGAGGTAGCTCTGGTAGGTCAAAAAAACCCACCAAAACAAAACATATTTTTTCAGTCCCAACCATCTGCCTCTACATTGTCAATTCCTGCCTCTCTGTGCGTGTGCACACATACTTGAGCCTAGGCCTGTCTGAATTTATAAAATAATTAGAAGACTTCAGGGCAGTTCACAAAAGCTTTGTGTTAAAAGCTACCCAAACAAAGTACCAAATTTGGCCTCAAATTGGTGAACTTGGGCTGGGAGGGTGGATTAAGTACCCTTGTTTTATTTGAGTTCCTATAAATAGTATGAATAAAACTCTCTTGTAGCATTTTAATAATGCGCTAGAACGAGCTTGGACTGCGTGAAACCTTGCATGTCAACGACGAACAAATCTACTCAGGGGAAAAAAAACCCGCACTTGCTAAATTTTTTGCTCTTGACTTTTAAAAGCAAACTCTTGGTGGTGCTGTGACATTTTCCACTTCTATGACTTAATATTTTTCAGATGAAAATGCAGATTTTTTTTTTTTATAGGTACAAAAATATGTGTATTTATATACTTCTATTCCCACACAAACTGAAAGAGGCCATCTTTTGTGACTCTGAAAAGCTGAACTGTAAGTTTATTGAACAAGTGTAGTTAGCTATATTCTACATCTCCTAAATATTAAAATGTCTGTACCACATTAATTTGGTGAAGTCTTCTATTATAAATGAAAAAAAATATTGTCCCAAGATGTGATGTGCGCTGCAGACTCCTTTCTAACCATACCCGCCTCTCTCATGTTTCTTTTTGGAGAGCCTTTGGATGGAAGAACCTACCATTTTACCCTGTTAATAAGGCAATAAGCCTATTATTTCACATGTGCTAAGTTTAAATTAGCCTGAATTATTAGGGGAGAAAACACAGGAATACCAGTTTTCAAATTGTCAGAGCAACTTAAACCAAAATTTGGGTCACCAAAGAGAGGTTATCGCTTAAGTAGGATACTAAGGTCTGTACAGCCATCAGTTTATGGGCAAAACTTAATTCATGAAATGAGACTATATAGTAAAAAAAAAAAATAATTGTTGCATATGCATAAAAGAAATTTCAACTTTTAGTGATGAAACTTTTATATACACCTGCGTGCATGCGCCTGTGAGCATGCACACATGCTCAGCCCTTTTTTCTCAAAGTATTTTATTTTAAAAGTATATTACTACATTTCTGTATAATAGTGTAAATGTTACACTCTTCTAGTGTAATAGCATGTCTAGTACATGGGCTTTTTTAATTTGAGGGTCTTCCTTAAATTAAGGCAATAAAGTTACTCAGTATTGAGTTGCATGCATTTCAGAAAAGCATGTTAGCCAAATATCCTGTGAAAACAGGCATGGCCAGTTGGTAGGCATAGGGCAAGCCTGGCCCAAGGACAGTTTTGCTTCCTAGTGTGACAGGAGTAGACTTTCCCTTGTGGATTGTGCTGACAGACGGGGCAGTGATCCAGAATTTGAGTAGAGAAAGCTAAATCTGCTGCCTACCACATCTTCCCTTTGGGCTCAGTCAGCCACCCTGTTCCTCTGTTTTCTTCTGTGTTGGCAAAATGCTGTTGGGCTCCAGTTCTTGTAGGCTGAAAACAAGCAGAGGGCCGCCACCTTAGGGATTTGGGCTCTGACACAAGAGTGAGGTTGTGCTGGGCTGGGAGTACACTCAAAACCAAAAAGGATAGGTTGTGGCTGCAGGAGAAATGGGACGGACGCCTTTTCCAGCATACTGCTGGTCATCATTCACAACTTTAGGTTTACTGGTGCGCTAGGATGAAAATGTAATGTTTGTTTGACTTCATCGGCGCTATAGCTTGTCATCATAAGACTAGACTGGAAAACAGTGATGCCCTCCAGCTGTTCTTGTGCTCTTCTCCCCAAGTTTTGATTACTGCTGTGGCCTGTGTGTTACATGACTGCTTTGCACAAATGTTATAGGCAAGGTGTTGACCAAGTGCTGTACATAATCCTGTGTTACAGGAGATGGGCAAGAAATATTGCTGGGAAAAGAACATCAGTTTCATTTGACTTAGGTATACGTGAGCTGGAAAACAGCAACTCTCTGCAAGGGGGGCAAATAAATGAACTGTATGCTTAGATAATGCATTTGTCATGTACTGTCTCAGGGAATTCCATTTGGCCTGCAGGTAGGTACCTTAAACAGAGGTTTGGCATCTAATTTCAAGGAATCAAGTGCTTGTAATCAAGTGTTTGATATTTGATAACATTAGTGAATCGCTTTCGGTCCATGCACACTGAATTGGTATTGACTGTTAAGCATACTTTATGAAAACTCTAAATGGCTTTAATGAATTTTGTATTTGCATTTTGTATTTATGTTTTTAAACTTTTATTAAATAAACCTGTATGAAGTCTGAGTATCTCAAATGCACCTATTTTTTATAACTGACCTGTGATGTTGTTAACATCTGCCTCCTCCTCTTAACCTATCGCTATCCTTGCCTGCAGGTTAAGGTGTTGCACAATCAGCTTGTTCTGTTCCACAATGCCATTGCGGCATACTTTGCTGGGAATCAAAAGCAGCTTGAACAGACACTTAAGCAGTTCCACATCAAATTGAAAACTCCTGGAGCAGATGCCCCATCCTGGCTTGAAGAACAGTAATCGGATCAGAGAAGGAGGACCCAATGTTAACCTAAAATCTTTCAATCTGATAATAATTAAGGGTTGGGGTTGAAGGACTGTTGTAGTGATTCTTGCACAGACAGCTTTAATTTTTTTTCCCCTTTTATAATACTGTAAAACTGAATTTGGTGGGAAGGTGGGTGACTTTAAGGTAACCAAACATAATTTCTGTCATTTCAAATATAGAGCCCTCATTTTGTATGTGAAGGTTGGTGGTTATTTCTGTAACTGGGATGGGGGAGGGAGGGAGGGGAAAGAAAACTATTATAGATTTGCACTGACAAATGATGTTTGTGATTTCTGGTCATTTTGGTGGCTAGTCAAAATATTTCCAAATGGAGGTTTACATGATTTGTACCAACATCTGGTATTTTATAGATGAATATAGAAAACATCTTTAGTAATTTTCATATGACTTTTAAAAAGGAGAGAGTTAAAAGAATATTTTGCAGATTAATAATATAAGGCCTATATGCGATATCTGCATATAAGGCAACAGTAGCAGATGGCTCATTGACTAGTGGAATTGTAGCAAATGCCTTTTTAAAAGATATACCTTTCCATCATAGGTTCAAAAAAAACCAAAAAAAAAAACACTAAAGCAAGAATCACTGTCAGTATGAATATAGAAAACATCTTTAGTAATTTTCATATGACTTTTAAAAAGGAGAGAGTTAAAAGAATATTTTGCAGATTAATAATATAAGGCCTATATGCGATATCTGCATATAAGGCAACAGTAGCAGATGGCTCATTGACTAGTGGAATTGTAGCAAATGCCTTTTTAAAAGATATACCTTTCCATCATAGGTTCAAAAAAAACCAAAAAAAAAAAACACTAAAGCAAGAATCACTGTCAGTCTGAGGCTTCTAAGCACACATTTTTGCTTTGCACCAAGTGGTTTGCCGAGTGATGCCAACCATGCAATGTACTAATTTCATTTAAAATTTTACTTTCTCTATGAAACAAATACCGTACTAGCCTTAAATCACAGGTATGTGCCTTTTTATAAGATAATATTTTCCACCAGTGTACATAATCCAAGAACCCTTTCACATAATGGTTTGTCAGTTCCCAGCAAGGGGAAGGAGACTGTGTAAATGCTGTTTCATTTTACACTTAGAGCGAGTTAAAGCTTTAGTTAACCTTCATGGACAGGTATGATTATGAGAGAAGAAATCGGGCCGGTATGGTTTTTCTATTTAATTGAAAAGCATACTTTGGTAATGGGAGTAACATGGACGATACTTTTTTAATTTCTTCATCAACCGTGTAGTCCTTAAATGTAAAATTCTATGTCAATTTTATCATAGGCATTTTAAATTCAATATATATTGGAGTCCTCATTTGCACATGTTACGTTGCTTTGTGTTCTGTTAAGTGAAAGGAAATACTTCAAATATGTTATTTACAACGGTGTGGATTGTATGATTTATGTACTGTATGTTCAAATGCCTTTCAGCTGACATTCTTAAAGTTTTCAGTGCTTAACACAACTGTAATGTAACTGTAAATCAAACTTTTTAATCATTCCTCATTAAATTCTTGGCCTGACAGAGCCTTCTTTATGTTTTTGTTCTGTCAGAATCTCTTGTAATAGTTCATTTACGTTCCCCAGAATGTATATCCTATGTGAATTTTGTATCCCTATTAAAGGTGTTTGCAGTCAAACTTCCTTGACTTGTGATGGTTAAGAGTAGAACCCAGCTTCTTCAGTGAAAGCTTAGTCCTGTTCTACTGAGTTGCCACCCCTGCCCGAGAATTTCTGGTAAAGCGGTACTAGGTGGTGACACTGATGCTGTTTTATTTCAGGATGATTTAATACTGTGCAAGTTCAACCTGAATATAAATTCAGAGTGAAACAAATCTTTCAGTATATGTAATTCTTGACTTAAACTTTTAAGGGAAATTTCATTACATTTACAACTTCTGTGAAGCCGTTGACTTCCACTGTCTCTGAATCTTGGCGTGCGTATGGTATGATGGTGCAAGAAAAGTTAGCTGTGTAACTGCGCAGTTGAGCTAGGAAATGCAGATACCAGCATTATAGCAGGGATGAAGAACACAAACGTACTGACTGCAACTGAAATACCAGCTTTCAGACCGCTATAGGAAAAGGATACATATGGAACATGTGCCGTTGGTTTCTATCTCAGATTCACACGTCTCCCGCTGAGGATAGTCCCTGCGCAGAAGGAACAGATCCGTCAGAAACGGTAAGAGTGAACCTGAATCTCAAATTGCCTTACGCAGGAATGACCCATGTGGCATTGTGTAACCCTCAGACTTTGGCAATGGCTTAAAGCTGCTAGAGTCTCTTCACCTGGAAGAAAAGGCTGGACAAAAGGGATTACTTGCTAAAAATCTGTGTATTGTTTAATACCAGGGAGAAGGAAGAATGACTTCCATTTTGCTCACTGAAGCAACTGTTCTAATTGATAGCCTCAGTGAGGAGGGTTCTGTGTTCAGCTGGCCGATAGGTTGTTAATCTGATTGCCCTCTGTAGTAGTTTTAACTTTCTTTGCCCCTGTTCAAATATACGTGCTTATGAAATAAGTCAAGCTCATGTCTTGTATTCAAAGTTAACTCCTCAGATCTAACCAAATTTAGAAGCTTTTGCTTCTGGAGATGATATGAGGAAGACACTTCTGAAGTCTCTAATGGGAAGTAATTACGGTTGTCAGCTTTTCTGATATTAAGAAAAAAGCTGTATAAATATCTGCAGATTGTAATGGTGGCATGTATATGGATAGACAGTTGTCAGGGTGGATTTTTTTTTGTTTGTTTGTTTGACAAGGGGGCCAAACCCACCTAGTAGAGTCTTGTCTGTGAAAGATTTCATCTCTGTTACAAGTTACCACATTAGTGCTTGTCGTGTTGTGTGAGATTTCTCAGGAAGAAGGATTTAAAGTAGTTAATAGCGTTTCAGATGTGCTGTTGCAGCTGCTCTACCGAACAGAGGGCCAGGGAGCTGTTTCGTTCTCTGTGACCATACTGTAAGTCATCTGCACTCCTGGCTTGTTTGAAACTTGTAGCTCCTGTTATTTTGTTTGTATGAATTCTACAAACAGCTCTTCTGCTCTAAAAAATGCTTCTTGGCATACTTCATGCTTTGTCAAGCACTTACAAAGAACCTTTCTGATTATAAAACGTATCTGTAGTTATATTTGAGGAGGTCTATGCAAGTAGAGTACAGTAACGTATCGGTATCATTAAAGTAACAGCTTGATTTCAATCTTCTGTCAACTGGTTTTCCAGCAACTTTATCTCTGTTCTCTCTCTGCTTCAAAAAATGATCAAAGTAATACAAAAGGAAAGCTAAACAACGTGCCCCTCAACTCTGTTTTGAACTGAACTGGGGGCATGTTCAGTTTGTGTTCTCTGCTTATCTGCTCTTGTTTCTTATTGTGGTGTTACAAGAATAATAAGGTATTATAATTATTTAGCATTCCTCATCTGCAATTATATCTTTTTTTTTTTTAGTCTGGTTCTCTTTTCCATGCTGCATGCTTGATGTGGAGGTTGTACTAGTCACAGGTATTTTTTTTTTTAATTAGTCATTAATCTTTTCATATTTTGTGATTGCCCCCACCCCAAACTTACCCAACTACTAGCAGCTAAGCTTATTTTTTTGATGAGAAGATCCACAGAGGAGTTGACTGTTCCTTGGTTTGTATTCCTTTCTTTCTTGTTACTTGTCATTGTTAGTAGCTCTTTGACATCTTTATGTTCTTTCAGATGTTGTGGTGTTGGAGCTAGTGATGCATAGAAAGCACATTTCTCCGTCTGTGACAGGGGTCTCGTTCACCTCACCGTGCCTATTTCCACCGAGGTCCTTTCTCGTAATTTCTGTCAGCCTTATATGGGAACCAAGTGGCGGGGTAGCTGGGGTTTGCCACTGTGGCAGTAGTCTGAAGCGAATGGAGGAAGTGCCTTGCCCCGTAGTGGAGGAGCAGCAAGTAGGGTGGCCTGGGCCTGCCCCGGAGAAGGGTGGTGTAAATTGACAGAGCAGCAGTGGAAAGGAAAAATGACGTGTTGCTGTTGCATCAGAGCCCCTATAGGGAAATGCAGAGAAGCAGCGTATGAACCTTGCGGAGCAACAGCCTTGGACATAAAAGCTCAATTTATGGTTTGTAAATCTTTTGTTTCCTATGGCTGAGAGTGCTGGCGCAAAAGCATTATTTTTTACACTTCAGCTGCCTTCAAAAAAAAAAAAAATTTAAGAAGGGGGCAGGAGCAGCAACAATTCTGTGCTGTCCACTATTGGTAGTATATTTCTGTTAAATACTTAGGCTCAGCAAAATGTATGTTCAACTTTTTAAAATCGCTGTGGGTGAGAATAACTTTGTTTTCTGAGGAAATACACTCTGCCTCATCTCTTTGCGAGAACCCATTTTAAAGATAATAGCTATTGGAGGAATGGAAATATTTGATATTCCAGGAGAAGCAGAAAAAGAGATCAAGAGTATCTTTCCGGAGTTCCTTTGCATCCCTGGGTGGCAGAACTTAGATGGGTACCAGTGTGGCTGTATGATAACATTTCTTAATTAAGTGCAGAGATCAGATAGAGAACAGAGTAAAGGTGAAACAAATTTTTAGTTTGGGTTTGCCCTGTTATTAGTGTGTATGTCAGCATAAATCCATTGGTTCAGTCAGGAATAGTTCAGCTACCAGCAATGTGTTCCCAGTAAATGGTACTTAACAAATGGTATGTTTTACTGTGCTAATTAAAAAAAATAATTATACACCTTGCTACCTTTTAAAGAATACTGAAGGCTGTAAATTCAAGCACTTAAGAGTTAAATAATGCTAAAACTAGTGTTGCCTGTTCAGTCTTGATTTGCCTTTCTTACATGTGTGTATGCATCATGCTAGTTTTATGTGATAGTGGTAATTAATTGCAGGGTTTTGATTCAAGAGGTTAAATACTGCCGTGCTTAATTTTGAAACCAAATAGAAGTTGGTTTTTAATGTGTCT